CTTAAACAACTGAGCTAAGGCCAGGCCCCCCACTGGGCCCTTTCTTACATTCACTTTTCTACAGAATGACTTCTTTTTATTTGGAAATTGTTAGTTAGAAATACTTCGATTAACTGGCTTTGGAACAGGAATGACAATGCATAGCTACACTACTTAAAGGTTTTGTTTCCCAGAGGCATTTTAAAGTCATTTTAACATAGTTTTTATGCTTTGTTTTCATGGGTGAGAAATGGAGAGTTTGGGATTGCAAACTGAAAGTTACAAGAAACCTAGAACATTATAAAATATCAGGCAAAGCCATTCTCTTTTTCTTTTAAGTAGTTAGCACAATACTGTAGAAACCTGAGAACATAGAGCCACTAAAGCAACACTTAACCATTTCAGAAAAGTGAAAGTACAGATGAGGCCCCTGGCTCGGCTAGGCCAACGTGGCCTATGCCGGCAGCTTGCCGTCTGGTTGCTTTGGGAGGAACACATTTAGAGAAAGAGCACGCCACGGAGTGTCCAGGGGATGGAGGTCCAGGCCAGGCTCCTGTCACAATGAGTGAGAGCTGCCTTGCCTTGCCAGGTAAGGCACAGTGACCCCAGGGCAGGAGCCTGTAGGCATGGGCTGCGCTCTGGGACTTGGGCAGGGAGAACAGCCAACCGGGGAAGCCTCCATCCGACACAGGACAATGTATCAGCAAGAATACTTTGCAAAGTAACCACCAAACGTGAGCACGAGCTGTCAAGACACCTGGGAATACCACCCACCCTTCAAAAGAAGCCCTGAGCACACTGTGGAGGTGCAGCCCTCTTGACCTGAGCTGCTCCTCTGTCAGGTGTACCCCAGCAGTGTCACCCTAACCCAGGGACCAGCGGGAACTCCAAACCCGACAGGCTGCTGGGAAGCAGCAAGTGAGTGGCACCATAGCGCCCTGGCAGTCAGCGGTTAGGCTTTAGAACTGGGACACAGTTCTTTCGGTAGAAAGGGCATTTATCTTTTGCTAGGTGTATTATTAAAATTGGTTTAAATCTTCTGAATAAATACTGACTACCTGGAAGTAATCAGACCAGGAAGAAGCAGAGGAAAGAAGGCATAGAGGTGCCAAAATCAAGACATCACCCAGCATACAGACCATTCTATTGTTAAGCATTATGAAAAAAGAAGCGTTTTAAAAATAAAAGCACAGAACTCAAAATCAAATCTGATGAGATTTTTGACTAATTACCACCCCCAAGGCATTCATTTTTTTATTCCAGAGCTTATATAATTACCCAAGTTAAATTCAATTAGAACAGCTGAAAGATGAGTTAAAACCCTGAATTTCACTAAGGGAGCAGGGAGGGCACATTACAGAGCATGCTTTTAAATACTGCATCAAGGGTATCCATTCCTCATGCCCCTACATCTAGCCTGAAGTTACTCACTGCTGCCTGAATCCTGAGTCTGAAACTTTCAGGAAAGGCACTGTGCTGGACCGAGGGGGCTGAGGAAACCAGACACACAGTTTACTGTACCGGCCTGCTGCATAATGCACCCCCAAAGATACTAAACATACACAGACACTTGAGCATGTGCACGCACGCGCGCAGTGGGCACACACCTCACTCCAAAAGCTGCATCACAGCTGGGCATCATGACAAAAGCCAGGGCAGAACCAGGAGGCTGCAGCTAAAACAACCAATCTCATTCCCTCACATTTACAGTCCTCTGGCTGTGCTAGTGTTGGGGGCTCCCACCAGGATTCTACCCAAGCACACTGTATATCCTTAGCTTTAGAAAAGCATTTAAGGGGCTGGTGAGATGGCTCAGTGGTCTAAAGCACCTACTTGGAACAAGCTTGGCAAAGCACAGGGGCCGTGGTTCAATCCCCCAGCACCACATGCCAGCCAGCCCTGCCCCCTGGTGGGCTGAGCTGGCCACACACACACATACACAGACACACAGACACACACACACACACACACACACAAATAAATAAATGTTTAAAAAAAAAAAAAAAAGAAAAGCACTTAAGGGCTAGAGAGATAGTTCAGTTGTCTAAGCACCTGCCTGGCAAGTGCAAGGACCCAGGTTCCCTGGTACTGCATGCTGTGCTGAGCCCCTGGTTCCCAGATACACTGCGCTGGCCCACAAATTAGGTGTGGTGCTGCAGGCCTATAATCCCAGCGCTGGGGAGGCTGAGATTGGAGGATCACTATGAATCTGAGCTGTGTACCATAATCCACTGAGCTATTTGGCCAGCCTTTGTCTGCCATCTTTAATCTCAGTCTCAAGCAAAGTCTCGGGACATAATCAAAATGCAGATAAACTTTCTCCCAAAACACTAGCAAACATGGTTTAGAGTCCAACACCCAATGCAGTCCTTCACAGTAGAAATTTCCTGACGTTGATCTGTACCTTCTATATTTCTATCAGCATTCTGATCTTTTGAAGTATGACCATAATCTACTGTAAGTACGGCATAAAGGATTCCAGGGCTGTCTCTTCAGCCAGCATCTCCAAACCTTTCCAAACTTCCTACAAACCAGTTCCAAAGGCTCTTGGTCCACATGACCAGGTAGTCATAGCAATAACCCCACTTCTCTGGTATGAAATCTGTCTTTCTGACTGGAGAGAAATTACCTGACACCACCCAAAGTTAAAGGAGGAAAGGTTTATGGTAGCTCACAATTTGTAGAGGCTTCAGTCCATAGTTGGCTCCAAAGCAGTGTGGCAGAGGGGCACCACAGAGGAGATACAGTTCATGGCAGGCAAAAGACAGCAGACTGCAAAGCAGGGAAGCGGCAGCAATGGCTGCAAGCAGCCCTCTTTCTATCCTGTATATTCTACCCCAGCTACACACTCGGGGTAGGCTGCACTCTCACCTGGGTGGACTTTCCCCTCATCCACACCCAGAACTATGCCAGATTACTAGGAGGGCTGATTTAGGAATGACACACCCTTGATCCCTGCATCACATACTCTAGATCCAGCCACTGAAAAGCCTCACCTGATCACTCTGGGGAGGACATCTCAACACAAGCCATTACGCCACTCATCTGCTTTCTCTCAGAGCTGAAAACTCTTGTATAGATATGACGGCTTCCTTGGTGAACTCCACCAGACACTGAAGAGGAAATGATAACAGTATTAAACAAACCTTTCCAGGAATGAGAAGAGAGGGAGCACTCTCAATCCCATTTATGAGGCCAATATTACCCTGATACCAAAACAAATCAATATACTGATAGAAACTTACAGACCCCTATCAATAATATGATTGCAAGTCTTGAATAAATACTAGCAAAGCAAATCCATCAATAAATAAAAAGGATAACATATTGGTACTAAGAAATGGTTCCTCTAAGAAATGCAAAATAGTTAATATTAAAACGAATCAATAACTCCCCATAGAAACAGATCAAACTGGAACACAAAGATGATCTCCATAGACAGAAAACAAGGATTTGACAAAATTCAACAAATTCATAAAAATTCTCAGCAAACTAGGACTAGAAGAGGATTTCCTCAGTCTGATAAAAAATATTTATGAAAAACCTACAGCTAATGAAAAGTCTAAGGAGTGAGCAAACATTTTCCCAAAACAAATGTAATTACAGCATTATGTATCACAAACATAAACTAATAGTTTTTTTAATGGCAAAGGATTTAAACAGATACTTTACCAAAGATACATGAATCTCAAGTAAGCACATAAAAAGATGTTCACTATCATTACTCACTAGGGAATGCATACAGAAACCACAGTGGGATAGCATTATATCTCTACTAGAACTGATAAAACTGAAAAGATTATTAGGATCAAGTGTTGGCAATGAACACAGTGTTAACTGAAACTCTCATACATGGCTTGTGCGAATGTAAGAGGGTACAGCAACTTTGGGAAATGCTGTGACAGTGTCTTACAGAATTAAACAGATAATGACCATACAAACCACAAGCTTACTCTTGGGAATGTACCCAAGATAAGCAAGATGCCTGAAGGTTTATAGCAGTTCTGCTCATAAAAGCCAACAGCCATAATCAGCCTAAATGTCCACTAACTGGAGAATGCATAAACACACAAGACAAGCCAACACATTGAGGATGGGTACAGGGCTGGGCATAGGGGAGCGAAGCCTGGGTGTAAAGGGGCCAAGGGAAGGGTGAGATGATGGTGCTGCCCTGATCCTCAACTGATAGTATCATTGCTTATCTACTTCGGGCAGATTTAATGAACTTAAAAAAGAATTTTAAACTTTACATAGTCTAGGAGTGAGTCTGTTGTATGTAAATCAAGACATCTGACTTTTCAAAGGGCGGAAAATTGCCTACCAACACCAGGATTTGAACAAAGTCCTTTTCTTCACCACATGCGGATGCCACAGTGCTCTGTAAGCAGCAGTCTGGTCCTCTGGGACAAACTGTTTCTCCTCCCCCTTTCCTTCACCGTGAACACCAGAACTTTTTAAGTTCTTTCTTAGCTTTTTACTTAGCAGGGCTTAACCTCAGTGTTTCCAGATCCATGGACCTACCGCCTGAGTCCTAGCCCAGCCGACACACTGAGCTACACTGCCTCCCCCGACCCTTGCTGCCCAGGAGGACCTGAGGGCCAGGGGCACTGGCTTGGGCAGCCTGGACCTGGCACACACTGCTGGCTGCGAGACACTTGTTCTATTGTTTACACCGCTGGACCCCTGGGATGGGCACTCGCATCACCTGACCCAGAGATCCTGTGGCTGGCCCCAAGGCTGTGCTACACATTTCCATTTCTTCACAGAAGCTATCTTTGTCTCCCTAGACTCTTGGCCATGGTTTTTTTGTGAATGTGTCCCTAGGACACAGTGTCCTAAAGCACCATGGAGTTATTTTCTAGGAATCAGGGCGTGTAATCTAACAAGACTGATGTATGTGTGGCAAAACGGGTTCGAACTTTTGAAATCCAGAGTGGCCAACAGCCCAAGTTGCTCCCCTCTCCTCCAGGGTCTGTAGAGAGCTGCCTTTCTGTCATGGTGCTTGCACCCCATGGCCAGTGCCCAGAGACTCCCCTCATTCCTTGCCTTTTCTGGGGACCTCTGGTTCTGTGGCCAGGCCCAGGGTAATAAGCTCTGGCTATGCTTGCTAGGTCTTGTTACACATTAGCACTCTGGACACCTCAGCCTCTCGGTTTTGGTATTTTCTGTTTTATTCCTTTTAAGACTTCACTATTAATTATTTACAAAATGCCTTGACCTTTGTTTGACATTACCTCTCAGTGCAGTCTTCTGGTAGGAGCAAAGTCTCCACCTGCCCTGGGGCGTGGCTCCCACTGCCTGTTCAGGACACACATGGTCAGGAGTGTTCTGCTCTTGCCTGTGACCCACCCCGCTGGGCTTTGCTGTGAAGGGGGTCTGAGACACGTGGGCCTCAGCTTGGCTGCTGCTATCAGTGCTGCAGTGGTGAGATATGGAATCGTGCAGTGCAGGCAGAGGCCCAGTCTTCAACCAGCGGGCCACTGCCCTCGGAGGGAAGCCCTCTGGGCAGCAACTGCTCCCAGCTCAGAAGGCACCTGCCTGGGCTTGTGGTTTCCTTCGGTCCGATGGCCAGAGGTGGGTGGGTGTGCCGGAGGAGGTGCAAGTGCCTGGCACATGCAGGCCCAGCAAATGGAGTTGTTTTGGATGAAAGAAGCCAGCAAATAAAAACACAAATTCTGCTCCCCTCTTGCCCTGGAGCTCCTTACTCAAGAGAAGCCAGGGGACACAGAGCTGCGGGGCCTGGGCTTCACAGGTCATGTGCAGAGAGGCAGTCACAAGGACCAGACTGTCAGTGCCCTTGGCTGCCCTTGCTTAACATCACCTGGTTTTCTGTGGCTCTGAGATGGAGACAGAAACCCCCATTTGCCAGCCTCCAGCTCAGGTGCTCAGGTGACCAGAAGGAGGCAGAAGTCACTGTGAGAGCCCTGGTCGCTGCCTGCATGGCCCCCACTGAGCCCCTAGCCAACCTGTCAAGCTAAGTCCAGCTAAGTCCAGCTGCAGCCACGTCTCCTTTTCTGTGTTTGTGAATAAGCTTCAGTTTTACACAGCTACATCCCCAGGCCTTTAAAATTGTTTTAACTCTGAGACGAGGTCTTGCTAAGTCAACTAGACTTCCAAGCCTGCTGCCTCGGCCTCCCAGAGTGCTGCATCACAGGCATGATCCACACCTGGCTTAATCTTCATCTATGTGCAAAGTTCAACCAGCCAAAAGGGCAAAGTTTTCAAGGATTGAGATTTAACATTTGTATAAACCTTTAACTTTAAAAGAAAAATGCTTGAAGTATCCTAAATTACACAAAACACATAAAAATAAATATAAATGCAAACGAGTAATAGGCAGCTATTTCCTAGTTTAACACATATTAGTCCTATTGGCTATTATTTTATGTAACAAAGCAATAATCCTGAGGACACATTTTAAGAAGATTACGTCTTACCCTTCTGATTCGAGGTCAACTGCTGAAGTGTAAGTATTCAGCCACAAGGCTGACCATTTAATAACGCATGAAATATATTAACTTTCTGCTTTCAATAGCTGGTGCCACCATCCTAACACAGGACATGGCTCTGAGCACCTGAGCTTGTGGTGTCGAGCAACAGTGGGCCACTAGGGAAGGGGGCGCAGGGGTCCAGCCTGCACTGTCTAGACCACACCCCAGGTGGCAGCTCTTCTGGGCAACACACATTTCTTATGTTTATTTCTAATTCTGAATATAATGCTGTAAGCAGAAGAGAGGGGCAAGAGAAATCTGAAATATTTTCTCTGTCTACACCATTTCATGGGTGGTGGGCTGCTGGTCTCCCTGTCCCCAATTTTATAACCCTGTGTTGCCTGTTCGTATGCATTGTTCTACTCCCCAAATTCAGTTTCTCTTGTCCACATTGTCTTGGTGATCACAGGGCTAAAATAAAAAATCCAAAATCCTAATGCTAGCTTCATGCTTTAAGGTAATTTGTACTCAATTTGAAATTCAAAAAAGATTTCAGAAGGAAAGCAATACTGTAGTCCTTCAGACATTATGACCAAAGATCAAGGCATGGGCTCGCAGGAGAGACTAGCCAGAATTGTAAAGGTTAGTCCAGTAACCCCCCTGCCAGCATTTGCAGTTTTCATTTGTGTACTTAACTACTGGCAGTCAAGGCAGAGCTTATAAAGATGACGGCCCTGCTGTTCCACAACCAGACAATTTGTTTTGAAAAGTACTGGAATCCAGTCAGCAAAGGGACCCTGAAACCCTCTCTGTATTAGGTGGCTTCTAAGCAATGAAGTCTACGAACCAGTTCTCAAAATAATTGGTAATAATAAAGTAGTCAGTGGTCCATTTTTTTAAACTGTACCCTTGTCACGAGAAGACTCTGAAGATAATGCCTCCCTACGGCTGAGCACCCTGAGGGACATTCACACTGCCTGGCGTCCCGCTCACCCCTCACCCCGCAGGCTGCTCCAGTAGCTAGTTGCACAGACACATTTATTTCCATCTTGGTGACCATCTCGCCAGCATACGTCCACTGTGCCTCACGATGGCCAGGGACCTCTCAAGAATATGTGCAAGACAATGCCTCCACCTGTCCTGGCTCGGGGGATCTGGGGGGCAGCGAGTCAGATGACCCTGACAAGCCTGGCCTGGCATTCCTGTCTTCAGACGGTTCTTGCTCATGAAGAGCTCAGGCTAGGTTTAGGGGCTCACTTCAAACAAATGTAATACACAGGAAGTGACAGCATGTTACTTCTGAGGTTAGGTTATAAAAAGACCAAGGCTTCCCTTGCAAGCACTCTTTGCTTTCTCTCTGAGATCACCGGCTTTGAGGGAGCCTGCTGCCATCTGGTGGCCTCTGCATAGAGATGCCCGTGTGGAGAGAACCTGAGGTCTCCACAGCTGAAATGGACCCCAGGACTGCCAACTGCACTGGGCCCAGAGCCATCCAGTCAAGGCTGGAGGTGCCCACATCTTGACCAGTACAGGAGTGCAGCTGTGAGAGACTAGCCAGAGCCATCAGCTGAGCTCTTAAACCCAGACCCACAGAATTGTGGGTAATGTTGGTTGTTCCCAACCACTAGTCCTGGGAGCAATCTGTTGCTTAGTAGTAGACAACACATTCAGGAAGGCTGGGT